ACTATAGAATAAATGAAGAAGATTAGAGGAACTAAAAGGTTGTACAGCAGATTTGTTTGCTCATTAGGTCTATCGCAAACTTGTAAGGTTACATGAGCTAATGCTACCCAAGCGTTGTTTAGTTTACTGAAAGTTGTGTCGTCATGACTACAAGTGAATGAGCTTATGGACTTAATGACTTTAGTTGGCTAAACTTCAACCTCCATCAGTCAATAATCAAAAATTTCCTGTGGATGGTGCTGAGATAATTTGAGTAAAGTGGACTGAGTTCGAAAAGCTAGGAAATGTGCTCGCTACGCACCACCGCCTCTGTCGACCTCTATCAATCTTTATGGAGGAATCATAATAGGACTTTATGGAGGAATCATAATAGGACTTTATGGAGGAATTATAATAGGACTTGATTCAATATATTCGGAACAAGAGCTCAAAATTAAGTACGAAGTTGAACATGAACGTAGAATAAATCACTTACGCAGAATCGTCTTGCGCCCAAATTGAAGCGATGAGCATCGCCACAAGGCAGAGTTTCATCGATGTAGACGATGGCATTGAGTATGATGAGTGAAAATAAGCGAAGTTGGCCCTTAAGTATTGGAGAAATCGCCGCAGGACACGTACTACCGCAATATCACCTCGCCAAACAGCCGCAGGCGCGGGTCTCTCCAAACGTGGTCACGATATTAACTGCGTTATTGAAATGACGCTATGGCTTATTCCGAATCAGCACAGCTGAGTTTTGAAAGAGGGATTTGAGAAAATCAGTTCATGTAATGAGCGTTAGCACGTGAAACGATGGCATCAAAATATCTAGTAAAAAGAACTAGTAGTACGGGCGAAGGTGGGCTCAGAACACACAAAAAACTGCGAAAACACTTTGGTGGGGTATCAAGGGGGCTTGAGTGCGAGCAAAGGAGGATACGTGTCAGGACAAGAGTGATGAAAATCATGAAAGAAACCACGAGGGATAAGTAATAGTTTGATAGGCCCGATGTTTTTCTTTCCTTATAGCTAATCAGAGATTTATGGACGTGGAGGCCGAATAAGGTCCACAGCAGTTATCAAGAGTAAGGATGACTATTGAAGTCTGCGTTGTTCTCAGTATGCGTGAAATCCATCTATTCCTAGTTCTCTCGCTCTCCCCTCACGTCAACTTCTCCACCCCCTCAGCTCCCTTTGGACATTAGATATGTCACATTTATAACAGCGATACTTCTTGTTTCGGGTCACTAGTGACGTGTACATTATTGATCACATAATTGTACGGGGATGAGCTGTGAAGTATAAGCTTCAAAAGTTCATGTAGTTGTGAAAAACGAGTAGGGAATGTAACTATTAATCATGCGCTCTTGTTTAAGTACCCATACAAGCTGTAATTTCTTGTAGCTCATTATCAGAGTCGAGTGGCCTTTAGAACGTGAAAAAAAAACGTTTAAGAAGCGAAGATGAAGAGGGGGGAAGTTTAGGTATCGAATAGTAAATGCCAGTAACAAGGCACCAGCAAGCATTTGTGTAGACACCATACTTTAACAAAGAAATGCTCAATTTTAGTGGAAGTTGAATGAATGGCGCCTTTCAGAAGAAGGGTATGTCGGGGTATTATTTTTCAGTTAGCACGAATGAAAAATATGTTTCAAAGACGTTCGGAATTTTTAGACCTAAAGTACCTAGTAAGGAGGGGGTCGACATCCCATGTTTTGAAAAATTGCGGCTAGGCAGTTTCCTGGCGATTTTTTCACCTTTCCTTTTGATGTGGCTCTAACTAACCTCTTACCTCCTACCTGGCTATGTTAGCTGAATCAAAAGCTTGCAGCTTTCCCTGTGGTGTAGTTATTACAGGCTATCCCTACAGAAGGGCAAAATTTCGTAGAATGCATCCTTTTACCGATTCGCTAGTAAACAGACTTCAAGGACGTTATGGCGTTTGGAACGCCAAAAAGTTGAGTGTCCCGTAAAATTGTCCCACAAAACTGCACAATATAGCGATTTTATGCCTTGGTGGCCTTTCGAGGTAGTTTTAATGCCTTCTAAAGAACTGACTTTTGTTGAGTCTCGACTCTGCCTTCTGATTTGTATGAGAGCTACTACAATGAAAGTTGTGGTTACCGTGAATGAAAACTAACATGCCCTTGAGAGATAGATAATCTTCGCGACTTTTCAGAATGTATACCTTTCAAGGACGGTGTGGTAACTCGGGAATAATTGCAGCATTTTAAATCTTTTCCTCAAATTGCATTAAAACATGTCCAATGATATGACTACTGAAAAAAACCGCAATTCAATAGAAATTTTCCTCTTCACTCCACCCGCAGTATGACGTATAACTATGCTAGTTAGTAGTCTTCCGCGCGTTATAATGCAGAAATCCTCGTAAAGACTTCAAGTACGCCTACCGCTTTGCAAGACATCGTATCTGAAGGAAGTTATGTTCTTCGGAGGAGGAAAAGATTTTCGCTTGATTGCCTAGGAAAACCGTAAAACTTCACCTACTCACTGCTACCTGCGCAGTCGGCACATTTCTTCAAAGCCTAGACTTTTCCTATCTGCTAATGTGACGGATGGTTTCATATGCACAGAGCTTCTTTTAGAGGAGGCTGGGAGATGCTGGTCGGGAGTGGTCGTGCCCTCCTAATGTTTTGCTCAACAAAAGTTGCTTACTGTGTCCGATACACCTTCTTTTAACTTTGCTTAGAGTTGTAATGGCTCACATATTGGCGCTCAACTTGGTCTTCTTTGCCCCTACCTCATGTATTTTCCCACCGGTGTCATTGTAGGGCTTACTCATAACCTATTAGCCGAAGCCTTCTGAAAGTAATATGTCGTTTAAGTTGGCGACGCAAATTCTCGACTTACGGTTTGCCAAAAGGATTCAAACATGCTCGTCAAGTAACGTGATCCATCCTTCCTTTAGCATTTACTGCAGAACGATGGATTTTCCTAAGCTGCTTGGTCTCTTTCAATGACAGAAGCCGAAATAGCTCACATCAGCAGGTCACTAGATGCGCGGTATGTAGGAAGTTTAACAAATCAAGTAACAATAATGGCCGGAAATATCCTTGCACCCCCCCTCCCATCCCCTCTCCCATCTAATTTTTCCTTTACTTTCGGATCCCGCTGCATAAAGATCTGACCGTTGAATGAAAAGTGATCTAGCCAGGGAACGTCAGCAGGTTGTTGCGGCCATTTGAAATGTGGTTTACCATGGCATTGCTTTCGAGACACCGAACGCGGAACTACTACATCCCATACCTGTAGACGATTTTCCGAAGGGTGTTGTAAGGCTAGAATGCGCAGTGGTAGTGGCTGGAGCTTAAACAGAGGAGATCGTTGGATCGAGTCCTGACTTTTGCCGTTTTCGACAACATAGCTAGATATACTGTCGACCCGAGTAACAAGTGCATCAATTTTTGCCTAACACCCTCGAAAAGAATTTTTCAGCAGATATAAAAAACAGTACTAAGCTCACGTCTCAAGACGATTCCAATGAGTGGCACACTACTCATGGCATATAACCTAACAAAGCCACTTTGAGCATTTTTCCTTCTAAGGCCTTCTCAACACTATCTAATCAACGCTAGTGCAGCATCTGAGCATCAATCAATACCGAGGAAGCATGACTTCTTCACAGAGGCAGGAGGGCCCCCGCCCGCCCCGCGCCCCGCCCTTTCGGATTCAGAACTTCGCCTATGCCTACCTTCTGTTGGCAGCTTTACTGTCGATCAATTCTTCAGAGGTAACACGTTTTATGATACAAACGAAAGGCGGCGAACCGAAGCGTGCAAGCTCGCATCAAAAGTGATAAGTGCGCAATCGAGCCCTCACTGCTAAAATTTGTTGCCAAACAATTAATCAAGCTCCTGCCTTGTCATGCACATAATAATTATTATGATGGAAAGAATAAAATTGAATGAGAAGAGTTTTTCCCCTCAGAGAAGCGGAGGTTACTCTTCTCAGATTTATGCCCTCTGAAAACAAGTATTACCATTTACACTGTGATTCTTAGATTTGTTGTCACTAATTCGAAGCTTTTTTTTTTTCGAAATTGTCGGTAAACGGCACTCGGCGTCGCCTGAGGAAACACATATGAGTGAAGCGAGCCACATACAAAAATTAGGACTGAGCCTCAAGGAGGAGGAAGGATTCTGACGGAAGACGTGAGCACCCTTTATTCTTCCTGGCGTTTCTCCCCTCTCCGGGGCTCAGGACTCGGGAATTGTCACCTGTCAGCTGTTTTTAAGTGCCCTGTTTTGAAAATCCCTTCTAATGCTATGAATGAGCGGAAAAGTACAACATCTACATAACAAGAACAGGAATCTCTAGGCACGATATGTTTGAAGACAGTAGCAGCCCAACTTTTATTTCACTGTACGACGTTCACAGAAGAAGCAGTGTGGACAAGGACGCGATCGGAGGAGAGCGGTTTGCCGGTTGCATGGGGTTTTAATTAAAGTTGGGCTTCTCAAACTTGGTTGCCAAGAGTTTTTCTGACGATACAAGGTTGATCCATTACTCGCTTCCAACTCTGCCCAAATCTCTTCAAGTTGCACTCCTGCATTTTTTGCTGTATGAACCTATATAAATTGAAAGGCCTACTTTTTCAATGCTTGTGTTATTGTGTGAACACATGGCAGGCGAATGACCTTCTTTTCATAGAAGCCAAGGGCAGAGAGAAAGCTATAGAGCAAACTAATAGTTTCGCCAAACATGGGACTTCCATTATATAGACTGCTTCAATTTGCATGAAAAGCAAAAACGTTTCTATAGAAAACTATGAAGTGACTTGTGCTTACGTTGAACACAGTTTGCACGAGAATGTCTGAAAGAAAATGCGCTGGGGAAGCGCCGCCCCGTGTTGGATATTTTGAGATATTCATTGGTGTAAAAAATCTTCCAGTCGTATTCTGATCGACCGCAAATACATGTTTTTCTTCTCAAGAGAGTGTCCGGCTCCAGGGAGAGTTGGCATGCGCTTCCGAAAAGATAGGTGTAGCGATAACGAAGCAGAGATCAAGAGGACGTCCAAGTGCTATCGAAGCGCTACGGAATTGAATGGGTGCGTAAAGCGGCTTATAAAGCAGTCACCAGGGCTTTGTGACTTGCCACGAATTTTTTCTTATGTAATTTTAATAATACATCGCGGTTCAAATTAGAAGCGGCTTAAACAAACTAAATGATGAGCTTCCTCAAAAAGCACTTCAGCTCTTAAAAGGGCAACAACTGACGTCATTATTTTTATGTCATGTTGACGTGGCTATTTGACACTAACGTGAACCCATGATAGACTTTCTTTCCACCACTGGGCCTAAAGTAAGGAATTCTTTGATGGTTTATGACCTCAGTGGAGAATGATCTTTAACACGCTGAGGACACGTCGTTGTGTGTACATCTACTCAGCATTTTTTTTAGGAATTTGCATCAATTGTTACTGCTTCACCAATAATTTCATTAGTGGTAATGAGAGAACTATTCCTTCGTATCCAACAATGAGAAGGGCCAGTTTTGAAACATGAAAATGGAAGCACAAATTAGGAAAAACAAGTCTCTTCCGTGCACAAATGTGGGACGTATGTGCCCCGCGCTGTCACCAACGTGTCAAAGACCAGTTCAGCCTACCCAGAAGCCTTCTCAAATCGCAACGGGGTTTGGTCCACTCTGACAAACCTTCCTGGACCTCTTCGGGAATAGCTGCGCGACCTGTCTACGGAAAACTGACCACTACCTTTGTGATTTAGTGATTCCTTCGAGAATTGCTCAACAATGGGCTGCTGGATTGCTCGACAGGTTTCCTCGCACCCTTCAAACAGTCAATTTGGCCACCTGGGATGCAACCCAATAGTTGCGGTCACTTCCGTCCGGCTACGTACGCGAATCGAAAGGCGAACCATGGCGCAACAGGTGTCCAACTTCTGACTCAGTCGCGAAAAGGGACAAAAGTCTAAATAAAACTCACGAATCCACCGCTCATGTAGTTGTGTGAGCACTAACCTTCACGACAAACTCTACCCCTAAAACTCAACACCACAAGATATTCACTGTGCACTCTGCATTGGATTGCGTCACAGTAAGGTCTTACAAAGCAGCAGAACAATATAAGCTCCAGCGTCTGCCAATCTGG